ATTACTTAGTAGAGTACTATATATAAATAAATATAANAAACTAATTAATTAATAATAATAATACAACAAACTACCTAACTAATATTAGTAGTTATTTAGTTATTATATTTACAAATTATTATTATTTTTTCATATTTTTATTAGGTGCGCCTCACTAAGATGTACATACGCTCCAAATTTCAGATCATTCTGATTAGTAAAAAAAAAAAATGAAAATTGAAACACTACCGGACAACTGTGATCGTGCGATGAAGTTTGGATAGTGATAGGGGTAAGTGAAATCACTGTTCATTTTCACCTATAGGCGTTTTGTAGTATCTTCCATAACAAAAATATAGAAAGTGAAAAATAAATATATAGTGAGAAATATGGCAAAATTTTGTTTGTGAAAGAAATTAGGACAAAGGATTGAGTAAGGGTTAGTGGACAAACTGGCTCTTCAAATAAAGCGCACACCGATGATTGGAAATGATATTTATTTTTAGAAACCCCTATTTACGGAGTGAGAATTTCGTGTATAGGTCATTCCTTATTTAAATGTGAATTGGGATTTATCTAGATGAACAAGAATTGTGGAAGAAAGTTAAAAGGCTGATTATTTTCTTTGAATAGTCATCAATTAGTCTACTTGCAGTGATAGGTTTATCACAGACTTATTGATAAAATAGAAGTCCTATTCGATCAGAGATGGCATGCAACCACTTTATATGATGATTCCTATCTCTCTCTATTTTTTTTTGTGCCACATAAATAGTAAATTATTGTAACACTTTACTGGATAATTCTAGAGTGGTTTAGATGTTAAAATCATTCAGAACTACAAAAATGGTAATTGTGGTTAGAACTGCAGTTTCTTTCAGAGGCATGCAAATGGGGGATTTTGGGAAGTGGTAAAAATGACATCCAATTTCTCATCTTCAACTGTTGGGGAATGACCAAAGTCCAAACGGTATCTAGAAAGAATTCAAAGCCCTAGCTTGTCAAATATTGATGATAAAAAAAGAAATTTTGGTTAAGATGGTGGAATGTTTCAGAGTTACAAAAATGAAAACGCTTCTAGAAAACGTCTAGAATGACCTTGAATATCTTGTTGATGGTTGGGGCATGTCCAAAGCATTTTTCACAAAGAATATAAAGCCCTAATTTGCCCAGAAAAAAGATGAAACAGATGCCCCAATTTACTGGAGATGAGCTTTAATCAGTCACATGATAGTTCTGGTACAGTTGAGCCACTTGAAATCTCTTAAGAGCTCCAAAAATGTTAGATTTCATGAAAAGAACAAAGGCCAAACAGGCTTGAAATTTTTGTAAATGAGAAAACAACCCATATTACCCTGAAATTCCTCATGTTGGGTCTCGCTAAAATATAATTGATGTTGTTGATTACAGGGGCATTGTTGTCATTTGGAGCTGGGGCTGTGTTTGGCTGGACCTTTGGGCAGGAAATAGCAAACCACTGGCTTGAGCTCTACAGGATGGACACTATGGCTGCTCAGCTCAGGTTTTTGGATTGGTGGGAGAAGAAATGCAATGGTCAGTCCTAAGTCAGCCCATGACTGAGAGTTCATTTTGTGTCGCCTCATTTAAGGTTCACTTTCTCTCACCACTTTTGAAAAAAATGTGTTTATATGAGACCTACTACCAAACTGCATTGGCCTTGAGTCTTTGCTATGGGAAGGAATTATTTCTCTAGGTGCTTTTGATTTACTTGAGAGATGTGCATACCTATCCTGGTTTTGTGCAATAAATCTATAACATTGTGTTGTCAATTAATAATGTACTTTGCTGATCACTTCAGGAAGAATTCTTCTGTTAGATTGCTTTCATTTACGTTAGTATTACTATACTGAAATGAATCTTTTGTTTTTAGAGCTGAAAGTGGAGGGTTTAAAGAGAGCCATAAATAAAAGATGAGAAAAATAGGGAGTTTAAGAAATAGCAAGTTTTCATTGACAGAACTAATAGTTGTGTGGGATGGGTGAACATGAATGTCTACATTGGTCTGCAAGATGACAAAGTATACGGTGAGACTATTTGCATTTAGTACAAGAAAGCCACGACCTAGTTGGCTCTTAGACTTGAAATGAGTAGCTGGTGTGTGCCATTGACTGTGCTTAAAGTCCAAAAAAGGTTTTTATTAAAGTTTGTAACACACCTTTAGGGCTAGGAGTGATTGTGACATTATACCAAAACAAAACAGTATTACTAGCATACAATCCCTAACAAAAGGATGCATTGATTGTTATTTTAAAAAAAAGTCCTCATGCAAACCAGCTACCTTGCCAAAGAAACCAATGACTACTAAATGTTGTTTGTGATTTTGTACTGAATTTTATGTACAGATAATTTTCGGAATGGCTGACTATCAAAAAAAAAAACTTGAGAAAAGAACAAAAAAAACAGAAAAAAGAAAAAAAAACAAAACCAACCTATCCCAATGGCCAAAAGATCTTTGAACTTGGTATGTAGACTACCCATTAAAAAGTGTTGTTGGCATGTGCACTTTGCAGAGGTGTACATCGCAGTGTCTGAAGTTCACAGATCAGGGATACAATTCAAGTTTTGTTGAGAATCTTATGCCACTGATTTAAAAATTGGTGGCTTGAAACTTACTGGAGTTGGCCTGGATTGGGCCCCTGGCAATACACAGGAAAAGCTAAAAAATCTACAGAGCCTCTGTTATTTACCTCGAGAACCAGCCAAATCTGATCTCTAACTCGACCAATTTGGTAGCCGACTCTGGCTTGGGATGCTAGCAAGTGTTCTAAACCTTGCCAAGGCTTTGATACCAATTAATGTGGAAAGATATCTATATGGAAAGATATACGAGTCTGGGTCCAAGTCCTTGCTTATAACACTCTTATACTATTTTACTATCTTTTATGTTTTACGTATTACCCTGTTCCTTTAAACATTCCCAGATTGAGTCTCAACTATTGGTAAAGTAGTTATACAATCTTCGCCTGAACGAGAACTTAATTTGTTGTCTCCTCTCCCATCGTTCATACAAGGAATCCACTTAGCTTTTACTCTTCTAGAAAATGAGCCACACTTCTTATTTGATATGAAATAATTCGTGATGTCTTTCACTCGAATGCTCCTACCCTTTCCTTACTGGGAACTATTTTTTCATCCGTTGGATAACACAGAAGTTTCCAATATAAGGTAAGGGTCATTTTGTTCAATATTAGTATCCAATACTAATTATAGAAAAGGATACCCTTGCTAATTTGTAAGTATGGAAGGGAAAATTTTATATAAGGTGGTACTCATGGAAGTAAGGCTGAAGTAATACGTGTCTTAAAAGATTTGTTAAATCTATATTTTTTTTTTCACGAAAAAAAATGTAAATCTTTCTAACAAAAATAGATGTGGCGCGGAAGACGCAACTTTAATTCTACAAGGTTGCCGTGTTATATAAATCGCACCCATGATTTAAGGTAGGGGCATTATGATCGTTCAATTGTATGAACATAGATGTTATTGTTTCTTGGCTTAATTTCCGTGGAAGGAAATATACTTGCTGAATTAGTTAACTTTGGGAAAGTATCTGGTGAGTGGGCTGACCGGCCCTTTAATACCTTTTCGAGGGATTTAGTACCCAAAACATCCTAAATCGCCTTAAATGTATGAATTTGGAGCTTCAAATATAGTGAAGAGATAATGATTTTTGAAGAATTTAACTGAACAATCTGAGTAGAGAATAGATAAGTTTGTATAGAGCCGATGTTCTACACAATCAAAGTAGAGTGCACTTTCAAATAGTATTGAGAAATGTGGTTTCAATACTAGAAATCTTTGTGACAGTTTTAAACTATATTTTCATCTCTAATTATAAAAAAACTTCAAAAATAGTGTAGATCGAATAGATATATAAAATCTTGAAAATTGACGGTCCAAAACTGCTTTACAAGATGTATTATTTCCCAAACTTAAAATCCATTTTTTTCTGATGTCCAATCATCTTGATGTTGAGGTGATCAACTTGAAGATATTTGAGCTTCAAAACAACCTGTTCTAGTGAAATTTTAGAGCCTCGGCTCTATATAAACTTTTTCCATAGATAAATAAAGGGTAGATAATTTTTTATTGTACAACATTCATTTGTTTCTTCAGATTCATGATCTTTGTGGTCTAGGTGATCGGCCTGTGAAATTTTGGATTTCCAGTCCTCCTGAAAGGGTGGACTCAATGGAATAGGAATGCCCCCAAACACACCTAAACCCTACCCATTATCTTTTCGTTATTTATAGTTTAATGTGTTTGCATGCAGGGGGAGAGAGTGAGTGTATCTCTTCCTAAATCGAAATCTTACGGTAAAAACATTCAAAGAACCAAGGTTCATTTAAAAACAAGGAATAATTAAGCCCGTACTATAAATAAAAATGGGAAATATGTGGAGGTCCAAATTTTTGTAAATTTTATTTGGAGGTATTAATTTTTCCAACTTTACCCCAGTATGATGTTTCGGACACTGGACTAATTATTTTATTTGAAATGTTGGGGTTTGGATCTACTAGCCGCTTGGCTTCTATGAAGATTGTGCAAGCCAAGCGGTTTGAGTCTGGAGCCTCAGACCGGTTAGTTCTCGGACTAGTTTGAGTTCCAGACTTTGGATTGCTTGGTTTGCGCGAACATTGCAAAGCCAAGCGAACCAACGTTTCAGATTTCGGACCCATACTTGGAGTACGAATTTTACAATCGAGGGACCAATCTAATGTTCCAAACCACAGACTGCTTGGCTTCTACAATGTTCATGTGAGCCATCTGAGAAAAGCTATGGAAGGAAGAAGAAATTTATACCTTGTTTTGAATGGAAAAAGGTTATGGAGGAATCCATTGGTTCCTTATTTCCACTCCCTCAAAATAAAATATGATGTCCACCAAATGGGTCTATAAAATAAAATATGATGTCCTCCGAGTTTATAAAATAAAATTTAAACAGAATGGAAATTAAAATCATTCAAAGCACACATGGCAGCCTTAGGATACAACAACGTGGATTATGAAAAAAATTTCAATCCCATGGTCAAAGTTGGGCCCATAGGGCTCTTATTTGCTGTGGCGGTCATAAAGGGATGGGAGCTCGACTAAACGTATGTCAATAATGTATACCAAGGAAGATTAAGAGAAAAAGTGTGTATGACACAACATAATGGTTTTGTTGATAACAAACGCCTTCACCATGTATGTCGATTGAAGAAATCAAAATAAATATCCAGTGAAGTAAGCTCCAAGAGCTCGGTTCAAAATTCATACAAACAACTCTCTCTTCATCAGCAAAGGGAATTTAGATACAGGATTGTCTACAAAGATACTATTTATCTTTTGTATATGGAAGTGATAATCGCTCTTGGCCTTTTCATTTCAAAATGAGTTGTTGTAAAAGTGTCATTGAATAGATACAAAGTTCCAAAAAAAATTCTTCGGACTTCATGACTTATCCCAAGCTATCCAATTTGACATTAAATAAGTGAGAGTGATTGTGGCATCTACATACAAAAGATAAATAGTGTCTTTGTAGACAATCTTTTTAAATATAATCCTCCTACACTTATATGTAAATGACAAATATATGGATTGAAATTGCTTGAGAAAATTGGCATGTTGGATTGCAAACCAATATGAACCTTGACTCAAGTCAATAATCAAAATCCCAACCACTGAGAGTTACTCCTACATGCTACTCAATGTAGAAGTTTAGGTAGAGGGCTTTAATACTTGACCTTCAAAAGGCCTAATCATTGCTCGTGTAATCAATACAATGGCCAACATAGCAAATTCCAAGAAAACCACCAGACCCTGCAAAGAGAATGTTGAGGGAAGGCTAAACACTGGTCTTTTGAATGTCTAGAAGGTGTATCAAAACTAAGGGCATGTTTGGTATGCGTGAGGGAAGTATTTTTATGTGAAAAAACTCCCATATGTGATTATGAGTGGGAGTATTTTCGTATCAATTGATATCAAAAGATGCATTGGGATTGATTAATGTGAAAAAACTCCCCCACCTAATAATATGATATTTTCACGCAATACCAAACGTGCCCTACAAGACTATAATGCCTGCTAGGCAAGTGGTTCTAATGACAGAAGTTCACTTGTCACCACTTATGTATTCTTAGGATGGAATCTGAAGTAGCAAGAAGTAGGAAACAAGCCAAATCAAGCATGAAAGCATCAAATAGGTCTATGTTTCTGGTAGCTTCAGAAGTTACATGCTTACCCGAGTATTCCGGAGATTGCTTTTCTCTTGCAGAAACCAGCGAAGATGTATGGCAGTAATCATAAGTGATATATGCACATACATCAGATCAAGTTGAGAGAGAGAGAGAGAGAGAGAGCTCCATGCATTGTGTACCATGCCTAAAACATGGAAACTTGAGCATTGTTACCTCCTCTTACCACACTACCACCTCCTCTAAAGTAGGACATTAGAGAACACGTTTGTTTACTACAACCACACAAATATACACAAAATATATGTCTATGTGCCTAACAATGGTCTTCTACAATATAAATTATCTAAAGCTCACAATCTATAGTCATTTATCAAGTCTTCAAACACTTAAACCTTATTAGTAAGTCACACTAAAAGTTCCTACACTTGGAAGGCCTCGTTATGTAGGGTTAGTGGGTATGGAATTCCATGAATTCCTCCCTTGAATAAGGGTATACCGCAGGTGCTGCTTTGCTCCTGCAACTGGAGAGAGAGAGAGAGAGCCAACATTATTACTAATGAATATTGTTTTATAGAGAGGTGTAAGAAATATGGATCTACTTTTCTTACCTGTTGTTGAAGTAATTCATTGGCTGCCATAAGTGTGTCCTCCTTCAAAAGAAGGCGATGCAATTTAAATTGCCCGTCAAATAACAAATGATTCAATAGATTCATATGAAAATTGCATGAAAACATACAATACAACCACATGGTCTTCACAGAGTATATCTTAACAACAATAATAGTAACAATTCGATGAATAAAAGCATCGATGACAACAACAACAGTAAATAACAAGCCTAGCAAAAAAAAAAGTAAATATCAATAGTGATAAATTTCCATAAACTCATCATAAAGATCTGAGATAGTGAAAATGTAGGATAAAATTAGTTGTTGCCGCAAATCAACAGCATAGGTTTGAACTTTGAACCAAGGTTTTGAAACTTGGCCAAGTCGACTAGAACTCAGCACACCTTGTCAAGCCGAGTCTTGAGTAGATAACCGGACATATAAAAGATCAACGTATAAGTATGTTCTTATGTAATTTTGATATGTTTTGTGATGATTTATAAGTTTTCTTATCATAATGCTCTATTTTTCTAGTTTTCCCATTTTCTTGGCTTTCTTTGGATTGTTGTAAACTATAAATCAAAATTTCCAAATTCCAGCTTTTATATACTTTTTCCTTCTTTTTGAAGACATCCAATACTTTAAAGTTTAGTTTTCTTTCTTTTTTAGCTGATTTGTTTATTTTTACAAACTTTTTTTCTTTTTTTTCTTTTTTTTTTTCAAATTTTGGCCCTTTTTGGGCTTGTGCATGACTTAGTTTACACAGGTCTAGTAGGGGCCAACACCTGAGCCTGAGCCTGAGCCTGAGCCTGAGCCGAGGTTTTGCACACTAATGATATAGCCCTTGATAGATAGTAGAACAAGATTCATTTAGCTAACTCAAATTGTTGGAATATGGCTTAGATGGTAATAATGATGATGATATATGTAGCTGAGATGTTGATGATTTATTTTGTTAAGCAAAGGTAAGTGGGATGAGATTTAAACTTGAGTAAATGTCTAACCCCCTTTCTCTAGAACTAACACAAACTTGTCTCAAAAATCAATCTCCTGATAGGAGAGAGACCCAAAAAAGAAGTTCTAAATCACTTCCAAATCATGATCCACCAACAATGGTTTGATTTGGAGCTTCAAAATAGAAGCTTTAGATCCCTTAGATATACCATATATTTAAAATGGATGGCCCATATTTGATTTTGGGTTCACAGTAAATTAGGAACATTTTGGACCTACAATCTCTCTCTCTGTGGTTTTTTTTTTTTTTGACATTAGCATATGCATTTTCGATGTGCAAAACACAAATCATACAAACAATGAAGCAATTTTTTTTAAAAAAAGTAATTTTTTATTATTTTGAATAAAAAGTATGGAAAAATATATTGCATACCTTATTCTTCAGTAACTGGAGTTCTTGAAACATGATTTGATTCTGAAACATAAGAAGTCACAGTACACAACTTGAACTGCAAAAACTTTCTGACTTTGCATAATGCTACAATACATTTTTTTTATTTTTTATTATTATATACCTTGGTCGAGCGAATTTGACAAATCCAAACTTCGAGATTCCTCTCAAGCACATGTAATTCATCAAGTGTCATGCTGCCAGTCCCATCGCCGAACATGAACCTGTGTATTTATGTATTTAAATGTAATTCACTTGTTAGTATGTGTCCTACTTTTTTAGAGTATAAAGTATATTTTAATTTTAATTTTTTCTATACATCATATTAAGCTTAAACTTTGTGGCAAAATAATGACACATCTTCAATCACCCTTTCAAATCTAACAGTAAATGACAACCACTACTTTCTTATATGAAAAATAAATGGTCTCGATATATATATTTCTACAAAAAGAAAAAAAAAAACGCTTATATAAGGTTGACAGTTTAACATGTAGAACTAAGGTGCACCACTAAAATCCATTGAGAAAGGTAATTTTATATTGAAAAAACATTCTAATTGATCATCTCGATCTCGAGATGTATAGATATGGAAAAGAAAAGAGAATTCAAGTCTTACAAATAATACATCTTACAACACATTATTTGGACAGTCTATTTTCGAGATTTTCATGCATGCATAGATTTGCTTGATTCGAACTATTTTTAGAGTTCAAAATTTTATAATTAGATATAAAAATAGATTATCGCCCCACCCAATAATTTTTAACATCAAAATTACATCTCATGACAAAGTTTGAAGGCGCACCTTACTTTGATTATTAAAAATTGCAACTTTATGTAAACCATACCCCCTACAAAAAAAAGGAAATAGATACAAGAGGAAGATTTTTGGAGGGAACCGGATAATTCAATAATAAAAAAATGAAAAAAAATACCCCTAAAAGATTAAAGGGTAGTTTGGTAATTTTTATTTATTTAATATTTACAAATATTTTTTACAAGTGCGTGATAGTGAGAATACATCTAAATTTGACTAATATATAGAAAAATAAAACAAATTAAAATAAGTATACACACTAAAAAAGTGGGACTTCATGTAAACTACAAAATATATTTTTTATTTCCAAAATAAAATAGAAATTTTCTCAAAATTTCCCTATAAAAATAAAGTTACATTTGTAGTATGTTCTTAGTTTCAAAATATAATTATGGACCTACCTCCCCCAAAATAAAAAAACACCCTCATCGGAATGAGAAGTATGTGCATTTTCTCCAACTGTTTGTATATTAATACACCAACAGTTTGTATATTAATACATAGCATGGAAATGCGAATAGTATTAGTAACAGAAAGAAATTCGAAAATATTACTGTTGAAATCGACAAATATGATGTTTATAGATCTATCAGCGTGGACTAACAATAAATAAGGTTTCCATACATATATGGGATTAAACCAGATTTTATGTTTTTCATAAAACTCAAAATAAAATGTGTATTATTTTAAGATTATTGCCAATTTAAAAGATGGGATATGAAAAGTAGTTTATCCTTACACAAAAGAATGCTAATGAGTCCCAAAAGAATGCTAATGAGTCCTAAAAGTTGCACTAAATGCCTTAATTTTTTAGTTTCCAACTATTTTTCCATATTTATTAAAATGTTATATTATAAACATAATTTGTTTCAGTTTAAAATATAAAATTGAAAAATTATATCATATTTAATGTATTGCACGTGCGAGCAGAGAGAGAGAGAGCAAAAAAAAAAAAGAAAAAAAAAAGAGAAAAGGAAAAAGGGGATAAATTGGTCGTACCTTATTGCTTTTTGTAAGGTATTGATCTCTTGCTTCAGTAGATTTATTTCATGTTGAACATCCTGCATCATCATGATAAAAATCAGAATATCCACAGCATGTGGCCCAAAATCCAAGGGTTCAAGACTTGGTTTTGTGTTCTAAACGAAATGGCATATCATATTCAAACTTAGGAGAGCTGCTTATTTCGCTGTTTAAATCGGCTGTATGGGCTCACATGCAATACATGCGATACACCTGCGTTAATTAGGATGTGCATTTTATATGTTGTGTGTATATATATTTAAGAAATTTGGGGCCTTTTGATCTCAAATTTTGTCAAGTGGTGTTCTTTACTTGTTTACATTTTTTTGTTTTTTTTGGGTAAAAGGGTTGTTCTGTTACATGGTGTCATTTAGTTAATTGCGGTTCAATTTGTAGCAGGGTTTCAAAAATCACTAGTCTAAATTGGAATCGTTGGATTTGGATCGAAAAATAGTTGGACCCGTTTTGAACCCTAAAAAACCTCATTTGACAAATTTTGAGATGAGAAGGCGCTAAAGTTCCCTAGTAGAAAGGTCGGGCTGGATTGGCTGGTCCTTTTACAGAATAAACAATATTTTGATTTGAAATTTGTGTTCTTATCAAGATTGATCGCTATCAAAGTTGCAAGAGAGATAGAAAGAGAGAGATCATAGTTATCAAGACCAGATAGGACCACCTGGTCTAACCACTGGGACATATTTTGGTTGTTTAGTCTAAAACAAAAACTTGGTTTGATAAAAATCGGTCAAAATCAATGTTTGTTTGGTCATACCATCCCGTTTTGACCTCTTCAATCGGCTAAACAAAATTGAAAAACTTTTTATTGATATAATTTGTACTACTAGATTATTTTTTTTATTTTCTTATTTTTTCTAAAATATAGCCAATTAGGTCGACCAGTAGTTAACAAGACCTCTCACATATGTAACTTTATATTTAAGTGCAATGTTTATGCACATCTCGTGTTGCATGTGTTATAGGGGTGCCAATGGGCCCTGACTTGGGACTTGAGGGTAGACCCACTCCGGGTCCGGGTATGGGTCTAAAAATTGGACCCCAACAGGTTGGGTTCGGGCTCAAATCTTGGATCCCAAATACTATTTAGGTCTAGGTCCGAATAGGTCCTCTAGTAAAAAAATTTGGGTCTTAATTTATGAAATATATCTAGATATAATTAAATATATAAATATTTTAATTTTTGAAACCCGACCCAACCCGGACCTGACCTGTTGCCACCCCTATGTGTTAGTAGTCAAATACATGGTCCCAATCAAGGGATTTCTTCCCTTTTTTTTGTAAATTCTCTCTCTCAAAAAAGAGAAAAAAAAACTGTGATCCAAAGAGCGCATGTACTTCACTTTTGTAGGAGCATATTGTGTATCTAATCCCTCTGTCAAAACATCTACCTAGGTTATTTTTTTAGTCTAAAAATATGGGAATCGTATAAAAATTTCTAGATAATTAATTTTAAAAGAAAATTTGAAGTCTGAGTTTTGTGACACTTAGGTTTAGCCCTTTAAAAATTAGATGGTATCTATTTAATCTCGGGGTGTTTGTTTCTTTTCCAAACCATCGAGAGTTTGTTTTTGAAATTTTTTTGGCTGAGATTATTATATTGATTGTAATTTGTCAAAAAAAAAATTTATTATATTGATTGTAAACATTATATCCCCAAAATTTAAGGTATAAAAAATATTCCTAATATGTATTTTGCTAGATGGAGGAAGTGGCTAGTATACTCTCGCTGGTGTATAAAATTTTTTGGCGGTTCCGAAACATATTTGTCAGTCCATTTTGCTTTGGTAAGCATGCTTGTATGAGAGTGAGTGTGTGATTCCGAGAGAGAAAATTAAGTTCCGATAATCCTATTTACAAAAATGCCCACGTTAATACAATACTTGGTAGCAAGGAATATTTGAACAAATAAAAGAAATGTGTCACCATGTCTACTTTAGAATTTGACTTTGCCCTTTATGTAAAAAGGAAATGTTTTGATAGGGCTGCAGCACTATCAAAATAAGTAAAGCTTCACCATAAAAATCATCTAGAATTGTAGTTTCGAAAAACCATCAAAGCAATCATTTTAGCCTTGACCATTATTGTTGTGAAAAAACTTAGGCATTTAAGTCTTAAAAATAGTGTTTATTATATAACACATTATGTTAATCATCCATTTTACCTTAAAACTAATTGTTCACATAACCATAAGATCTGTATTATTTTTTGAGCTTCAAATTTTATAATCAGTATTGAAAATTAATTTTAGATAAAAAAGATTTTGAAGCCATTATAAGATTTTCGACACCAAAACGATATCTCTATATAAATTTTAAAAGTGCACGTAACTTCTACAAACCTCACCCCCATATATTTGAAAGCTCCAAGGGACAACATCAATTATTTGCTTGGGAGGTCACATCATCTCCAAGTCCTTGGAGGACCTGGCAAAATGGTGTACTCAATTCCATGCAAATGAGAATGATATCATCATGCCCCATCAACAATGGAATATAAAGCATCGCGCTTAGTAAGTGTTTTAAAAATTCCCATTAATCTCCAAGTCACTGTCGGACTCAGAAATTTCCAGCGTCCCTATTTTTTTGTTTTTTTGTTTTTTTTAAAAATGTTTTATTTGGGCATTCACACTATTGAGTCTTTTATAATTATACTCAATAGATTTTGGACATTTATATACCTTTGTTTAGTAGTATGCTATATTTTTAGTAAAGGTATTTTTTGTCATTAAGAAATTGTGATATTCTCCATATAAGATGTGACATCACCTACATGGAGCATTAAATGCCACTAATATGATCCATGTGGGTGATGTCACACCCCTCTTCAAGATAAAAAAAAAACCCTATATATATAAAGAGTAATGATCCTATAGAACCCTCCATCACCTATGTGTGTAGGATCTTAAAGGATCACCATTAAAGTTGGCATATAACTTTAAAAAAATTATCACATGGGTGTGGGATTTGATTTTTCTAGAGATCCGTAGCAACTTTAATGGTGATCTTTTGGGGGTCCTACACACATGAGAGGGAGAAGGTCTTATAGGATCATT